AAACGCCCCCCGGCTAACGCCACTACCCATGTGCAGGAGGGTCGACGCGCATTGGCGACCCCTAGTAAGGTGAGGTACCAACCCGTAGAGTTTTAGTTGAGCTTCTCGTTCCGTTTTGTAATAGGCATAAAGCCACTTTATTTCTTTCATGTTTTGTTGTGTAGCAAGAGGAGTATATCTCCATAATGACTACCTTACCTCTTCATGCACAGTAGAGTACATATTACATCCCACGGATTTAACATCAGTGATGACATGATTGCTTACACTAATCTCTTGATCTTTAAGCGCAGTGTCGTGGGGATAGCGCAGGGTCATACTTAAGCGCTGGGCCACGAGGGTCGTTGTAACTGGATCGCAGGGACACAGACAACACCAAGGGGCACCGCACAAGGAAGAGGACCGCCAACATCGTGGCAAGGCGAGACTGGCAAGCGCAGTACTCTTGTGCTCTTCTCGGAGGCTCAATTCCATCGTCGTGCCCCTGGAGTGAACGCCCGTCGCGACATCAAGGAATAAAATCGAACCTTTCAACAGGTTTGATTCGCTGAAAGCGACATATTCCTCCGGACATGGATGGCTGACCTGCGACGAACGACGAGAGAAGGTAATAGAGATCGATCCTAGGAGCACATATTAACGCCTAATCCTGATCTTCCTGAGAATTGCTAAATAATTGCTCACCAAAACGTCTTGCCAATGATAGCTGTAATGCTGCTGATGAGAGTTTTGACAATATTGCTCTTAGAAGTTGCCGGGCTTGACCACGGTGCAGATCGGCTGGCCATACACTCTGCTTGGGCGTCCACCCATGAGTACCTGTGAATGAGCAGTTGATTAGGGCCTAGTCAGGGGAGAAGCTTTTGGGACTCACGTGGTTACGACACCGTTTTCCACCAGGCTCGCAAACAATTGCGGATCGAATCGAGCTAGTGGGCCTGGACTACGTGTAGTCGATGATGCCAGTACAAACCCACTCCGCGTAACGAGAAGGCAGTCCATCTGAAGTTTAGAAGCAATGCTATTGTCAAAGGCAGCAATCGGACTCTAGTTCGATTGATTGCAGCCCGACTGCTAGCGTCTCTGACAGTCTCACAGGCTGCATTCAGACTTCGACGATCGTCCGTCCGCCCATCTGTCGCATGCGTGCTGCGACGGCGGCGCTAGACAGGTGTTAACAACACTAGATCACGTGCCAGTGCTGTCAAAACCTGTCCAGCGACGCCGTCGCAGCACGCGCGACGGGATTTTCGTCGAAGTCTGAAAACAGCCATAGCGCTCATTCGAACTAACCATCAATACCATTCAGTACTTACCTTTTTACAATCATTCCACTGTTTCGTACCCGAACGGGTCCAATTCGTAAATAACGCATTTGCATATGACATTCTCCACTGGACACCAACAACAGCCAATCGATTGTTTAATTGATCAGTTATTGATCGATACGCGACGATCACATCATTTCTTACTGAGAACTGCAGTAGATCGCTCGAATTCTCCTTCCCGAGACGTTCAACGTCAAGCTTTGATGTCACTTCCTTCATGTACGACTTCGAGCTGAAAAATCTAAAGTCTTACATGATGTTACCTTGGAGAATTCCCACTGTTCTTTTTTATACCTAGAGGCCACCCAGTACCCATCAGAATTGGGCTCCTGTCGAATAAATGACCAATGTTCTAACAACCAGGTATCTCTCTGGTCATGAATGACATAACTGGTTAATTGTCCGACACTGGAATATCGCTCCAAGCTCACCCACGAAACGGAACATCGTCTCTTTATAGTTATACTTCGATGGATCGGCCTTTGAAACTGCCCAAGTTGTTTGCAAATCTTACAGTATACCTTGGAATATTCGAGAATTCTTCTAGGAGAGAACGATATCAATCCAATCGGTCAAATGAACACACCATCTGGGAAAGAAGGCTTGAATTTGTGATCGTGTATGCACAAAAGTGTTTATGTAATATCGAGTAGGAAATTCAGATGGGAGACGTAAGTCTTCACAGGAGGAGTTGACGGCTGCACCATCTGAAAAGCATGCTCCTGAGGGAAGAATGATTCCTGAGCTAAGTCCGGACGCAGTGAGGGCAAGCCACCTGGGTGAGAGGCCGAATTTATAAAAACAAGAGTGGGAAGATGAAACGTACCATATCTTGGCCACGAATCAGCCCAGGTCCGAATAGCATTTGTTAAGGCATAAGGTAGCCTTAGATCGTCGTCGCATTCGGCACTCGGTAAGGCGCTGAATCTGGAGTCTGGTGGCAAAGGATCCAACTTCCAACTACAAATCGATCTGGAATGATTTTCTTCAGTATTGGCATCCTAAATGCGGTTCGGAAAATTCGGAATAGTCAGTCGGAAGCGCTACTCTTGTTACCGGACCTAATCGTCAACATTTTTCGAAACCAAAAGGTACGGTCAGCGTCTAATAACTGACCTGCTCGACAGGAAGTACGTGACGAAGGGGTTACTGGAAATGTCCAGACGAGGCATCGTATCCGTGTAGGTGAGAGTTTGACGATTTGTCGAGCTCACAATAATTACAGAAAGTGGCGAGCCTTTCAGATTCGCACAGTAATACACACGATCGCCCTAAAAGAACACATGACTAGCTTTGTCGTGCCGTTCGGACGACTTAAAGGCCGGCCTTGCCTGGGCGCGCGCGTAGTCCCGCCGGGAAGGCACCGTACGCCGCAGAGAGCTAGAGTTTGCCACGTGGCGACGGACTCTAGCCGCTCTAGGCGATTGCGTCATTCATTCACCATCGTGTCAACGCCTCGGACGGCTGCTT